AAAGTTTTTGAATGTGCGACAAACGATTGCCTAAACGCACTTTTCATGATAGTAGCGCCACCTAGTGGCCAACCCGAAAGCGACGCATAGAATATTAAATTTTTTCGCCACGACTGACGTGTGCCGCGTTTCATGAGTTTTCGAATATGTTGCAGCCTCCAAATATGCATAAAGATTCAAAATACATGGCAGTAAACATCAAACCCTGAGTACTTTTATTATCACAAACGCAGGTGAGTGAAACGATAGACTAAAAGCATACAGTTGATCACAAAAAGCACTCTCAGTATGAAGCAGCCAGTAGTCGTTAGAGAGTTCAAGGGTCAAAACAAAAGAAACACTGCACAGAGGTGAACAGCTCTGTCCTGAGTAGACTTTGAGCCATTGTAATCAGCCTGCATAAGTTGACCCACAAGTACTATGCAGCCATGTAACCTCATCCTCTTACATAAGCCAAGATAAACAATCTTAACCCCTGTTAGACAGAGCCTACCTGATGACAGCCATAGCGTCCGTCACTGAGTCACTCAGTATGTCTTTCCTGTGTACCATAAAAAGTCATAATTTAAAACAACAAACGTCTGTCTGGGGATCAGAGAGTATTTTTGATTTCCTGCTTTTGCAAGAGCATACTGAAATATACTAACTGAATTTTGAACAGAAGTGCTCACAGTAATTTCCTGTTTATTGTTAATGTCATGTCAGACCCCTACAATCCTTTATAAGGTTGTGCCAAATGACAGCCAGATGCATTTAGGGCTTGATTTAATTGTATTGAATTTTATAAAAAATATTCTTATTTTATTCATAATAAAAAGTTTTATGTAAGTTTATATTCATTTAGAATAAAAAACAGGTGGAAAAAGGTTGAATTTGAGTTGTGTCATGCCTGGGGCCTTTGACCATGACTTTTCATTTCTGTCTGTTACACAACTCTTAACCTCTGTCCAAATTTCATACTTATTCAAGTGTTTGTTGTGTGCGCATATGTGTGTTTGTACACGTTGCTTAAGTTGGGTGGGTGAACTCTATTCATTTACACATGACTGATACACACAGAGGGACAACAGCTGCAGAAACAGTTGAAAGAAAGGTATGATAGGTTCTTCTTCAGTGTGGATATTACAGCCACTTATTATATATTTGTATATGTACTGTATTTTATTCACTTCTTTGTGAGTTTTGAATGATTTATTATTATGAATAATTATACTTAAAATAATGATTCATATTTTTTGACTGCTTGCTTTGTTTATTATTTTTATATAGTAATAGACCATATGGCAGGATCATTTGCAGAAAGAGAAGTTGTTTCTGAATTTGCTTTATTTCGTATTAATGCACTGTAGCTCAGAGGATGTGCTCAGAAAGTGGGCACATCTCATTTCTCCTCATTGTAAGATGCAACAGTGATACATACCCACATTTTCATTTTGCACAATCATGCATACAGAGTAAACTAAGAAAGTGCAAATGAACTCTTTGATCAAAAGAAATTAGGTCACACCCGTTGGGAAGCCAAGAGGAAGGGAAATTGGGGCTGCTCAAGTTTCACAAATAAAAGCTTAAAGTCTTTTCACAAAGCTCAACAAATACCATTTGAACAGGGACAGCTCCTCGGATTTCTAGAACCACAAACAAGACAAGGTGTTCTGTGAAGTAGTACTGAAGTAGTACTGAAGTAGTACAGGACGTACTGAGCTGATCTGGTGGTTGAGGTTGTGCATTTTTCTTTCCCAGACGAGGATTGTAGCTTGAAAGCTGGTTTGAACATAATAGAGGATATTTTTCATTAGAGAACACTTTCATCCTCAGGGGGAGTCAAATGTAAATATTGATTTTGTTTCTCTCGCTCTAGAACATAATGGCACTCCTCTTGTGGCTTGGCTTATCGCTGCTGGCCTCTGTCCAGTCCAGCGCTGTCAAGAACTGCCACCCTGGTTGCCGCTGTGAGGTGGAGAGCTTCGGCCTGTTCGACAGCTTCAGCCTGACCAGGGTGGACTGCCGAGGGTTGGGACCCAGCACCACCATGCCCATCCCCATCCCACTGGACACTGCCCACCTTGACCTGTCCTCCATCTCCATGGGCCCGCTCAGCGACACCATGTTATCTGGTCCAGGTTACACCACCCTGGTTAGCTTGGATCTAAGCAGCAACCATATAACAAAGGTCAGTGGTATATCGATATTCTCCTTATTGACTGACATCGGCCTATCTGTTTGTAAGATGACATTTACTGATGTCGGTGGCTGAAGGTTATCTGTTCTGTTGATCTGGCTAAATCTCTGGACATTGGAGAAGTACTCACTCCTGTTTTCCAGCACACAAATTACATTAATATTAAAAACACATTGGTATTTGCCTTGGCTATTGGTCAAATTGTTATTTTAAACATTAGTATCAGCCAAGAATTTCCCAATTGGTGCATCCCTACAAGTTTATTGTTTTGGGTCACTCTCATTTATAGTGTTTGTAGCTGTAGAAAGCGGTTTTGCTGAAAACAGCTGTAAAACCCCACTTAATTTAACTCCCAGGCACCAAATGGCAGACAGACAAAGGGAGCAGCTTCGTAGCTTAAGAGCAAGATATTTCCCTCAGGAGCGTGTACTGTATTTACATTTGTCGGGTGTCCGGGTGATTGGATACATTTGTGTAAATTGTATGTGTGTGTGTATATATTGCAGGAGTCATTGAATATAATATAATATTTAAAAGTGTTCTATAAGCAAAGGAATTAGGGATTTCTATACATAAATACCTAATACTTACCTTGACACATAGATATGTCAAACCTCATTTTATATTTTTATTTTCATTTCACTATGTCTTCAACCTTGCCACTGCTTAACTCTTAAAATATATTTTTCTCTTTTTTCACCTCTTCTTTGCCACATTTTCAGATAAGCCCCAATGCTTTGTCCAAGCTGCGTTACCTGGAGACTCTGGATCTTAGCCACAACAACCTGGAAAGCCTCACCCCGAGGTGTTTCTCTGGCCTCCCTCTGGCTGAAGTTGACCTCAGTCACAACATATTCCAAGAGTTCGACATGGACGTGTTCACTACTAAAGTTAATGGTGAACCTGTCAGTGTGGATCTGTCTCATAACAAGCTTGTGTCTGTCACCACAACTTCGCATGGGAGAGTATTGCACATTCAAAGCTTAAATCTGTCTTCAAATCGGATGTTGAGCGTACCGATGCTGGCAGGACTTCCGCTGAGGTACCTCAATCTAGATGGTAATCCTATCACCTGCATCAAGGAGGGAGCTTTCGCTCAGCTGAAAGATCTGGTTTATTTATCCATCAGTGGCCTCGAAGAGCTTCAGGAAATCGAGCCACACAGCTTCAAGGGCCTCCAGAGCCTGCAAGTTCTGGATCTCTCAAACAACCTGAAGCTTAAGACTCTGAGCCCTGCAGTTTTTAGCGGACTAGATTCCCTGCAAGAGCTGAATTTGTCTGGCTCTGGAGTGGTGTCTTTGCCAAATAACATGCTGACCCACTTGCCCAGTATTAAGAGTATCACACTGGGAGAGAGCATCCACTGCTGGAGGACCCAGAAACAGGGACAGTTCCACCGGCAGCTGGGTCAAGTCCAACACAATGAGGTGCTGAACTGCAATGTTGACGGTATCGTATTGTGAGACTATGGAAACGGACCGCTCCTTTAGGGATACTCCATCACAAGTGCTTGTCGGTTGGTCGAAGAGCTTCGGAAATCCACAACCCCCATATCTTCCAGACTTTGGATTGGCGTTGGCTGTGTCCGACCATTTTTGTAACTTTCCAAAGCTGAAATTCATACCCACATTACACAGTTGTTTTAATTCATGACACAAGTATTTCTGTAACTTCTCATATGAACAACCGATCACCCCCCAGCCGTCTGTGATGGCTGGTCTCTCATGCTGCCTTCTAGTGTAGCCATTCGGAGCAACTACAAACACTTTTGATTTACAATGTGCGCACGGACAACACGTTGTACGAACTAGTCCTGATAGAGAATATCTCCCGGCCCTTACAATCCTGATGCCAGAGCTGTGCCTTATCTGCTTTGATATGCAAAACACTTTTTTTTGTGTTACTCACTTAATTACCTTTGTTCCGAGGTGAAACTGGAATATGTCTTAAAGGTTTAATGTAGCCTTCATGAACACAAATATCATAAATGCTGTACCTTTTTGAAACACAATAACAAAATGTACAGCATTTTACATAGCACAGAACAACTTATTTTCATCAGAACTTTAGACAATGTTTGGGACCATATTAAGAGTTATTTGCACTCGCTCCAGTCGTGGTACTGTTTTTAAGGATGCACTTACACATGGCCTAAATATCACCCAGTCTAATGTAAAACCTTCTATGCATTGCTCCTAATATCCACACTGAGGAATATTTCATGACTGTTGACCACTACGATTTATCATTTGACTTTGAATGTGATGTTTTATTGAAATGATTAAAGGGATAGTTCGACATTTTGGGAGATGCACACATTTGCATTCTAGCAGAGAGTTAATTCAACAGATTGACAGCTAACCGGCTTCAAGTTAGCTTAGCTTAGCACAAAGACTCGAAACGGAGAAACAGCTAGCCTGATTTTGTCCGAAGGTAACAAATTCACCTACTTGTACTTGTACCAAAGCTCACTAATTAATAAGTTATATCTTGTTTGTTTAATGCATACATAAACCAAGTCTAAAAACAACGGTTGTGGTGTGGTTATAAAGGGAAGTACTCTTTCTCGTGTTGATAAGGGACTTCCTTCAGTCTAGCTGTCACAGTGAAGTTTCAAGGCAACCAGCGGACAGACAACCACAAACGGTTGTTTTTACAACTTGAGTTTTGTGTGCATTAAAGCAATAAGATATAACCTGTTATTTAGATCAGTGCCTGAATTGGATCAAAAAAGGTCCCAGTACCCTAATTCTGCACAACCCTAACCCTAATTCTCTTGACATCATTAAAGCTTAGTGTTAAGCGATCTATGTGTTAACACAAAGAGACATTGCTGTACACAGGGCTTTAGATATACCAATGTCCACAAACTGAACTTGCTGAACTTGTTTCGGGGGAACAACGCATCAAAGTAGTTATTTTTAGACAATTATTTCACAACTGTTTTTGTATACCCCTTGTGAAAAATACTGTTGACCTCAGTGGTCAGTACAGCCATGCTCGTCAGAAGTGGTACTCAGAGAGGCCTCAGTCTTCTTATTTAACTAACGCTCTTCTACAAAACTAAATAGTGCTTTTCCCAAAAATGTGAAACAATCCAAGGAATAGTTATTATATTGAGCACGGTCTGGTTGGGAAGCTTACAGTAAAGTCTTGTTACAAACACTGTAACTAAACCTAGTTGAGTAAAATGAGATGTTTTCTTGTTACACCCACAAAACGACCATTTCATTACTTGAATTTGTTTCCACGAACACAAGTCTGACAACTTGTCCATTGTGTTTCGACAATTTATCTTCATAGTGACACTAAGTTTGATGTGCAGCCCATGCGATTTAGGTGCACGCAGCCCTCGGCACAGTGCTCACTGATCAGTGTTTTGTTAGTTTTTTAGGACATTACACAACAGGAGCAAACAAGCCGTGACCATATTGACTGGGACTTTATTTTGACTTGCTGTCAAATTAGTCTCCAGTTGAGCAAGACAGCTGTTTTAAACAAATTTGACCAATGAAGTAGGACAACTTTCCCTGGAAATGAAGTGATGCAAGTACACTTTATGTCGATGTTGATGTATAAACACCAAGCTGCGGGGTGCTGTCTTGTGTACTGTTACCTTGACATTCCTGTGGTATTTCTGTGGAGCTAAGAGGATCATTAGCCTCAACACTGCATATTTGGGTTTTTGAATGTCCACAATATGAAAAGTCTTGAGTTATTTAGTGTTTTGGTTTTTGAAATTGTAAAGGAAATCCACCTTTTGAGTTGGTTAATTGAAAGTCAGATGAGCCCAGTCTATGTGTAGAAGTTTATATTTGTATGTATGTAACTATATTGTATATAACTTTATATATATGTGAATCATATGTGTAATAAATTGACTATTCTCACACGTGTGGTTGTAAAAAATAGCAACAATTGTTGGGTGTGTCGGCAAAGAAGCATGAACGCACACAATAAAACGAGGAAATAACGCGTCACTGCAGACACTGCACTTAACATTTTGCTAGAGATCCTGTTTTTCAATGTGTGATTTGTTTCTATGCACAGGACTGACTCATAGCTGGGTGTGTCTCTACAGGACAAGAGGAAAGCTTAGATCTCAGCGGTTTCCCCTCATAACAGTTTCTTCACTTTTTACAACTCAGTCACACGTTTCGTATATAGAGCCTTTTTGTCTTTATTTACTTGAAAGTGTCTGGATTCACAGACACGTACACACACTTGTGGTCTTGAATGGTCCTTAAAAAATAGTAAAGTGGGCAGAAACGCCGGGTTTTGGAAGAATACCGTGCTACACTGGGCTGGTAACCTGCCAAGGAGGTGACTGGGAAGGAGATGGGTAGAGAAAGGAGAAAGAAGGAGCTGGGTTTCAGTCATGGCAGCTTACAGATCTCCTGTGTGGTGTCTGGCAATGAGTTTTTGTCCTGTGAGACAGAGAAAACATTCACATTGTGCCCTCCTTTCTGTGACACATCTTTTACCCGAGGAAATATACGGGTGACTAAACCAAAGGGGTTTTACACAGATTGCATCATAGTTGTACGTGCCTCAGAATACAGAAGACATTTAGAAGCTCTTTAAACAAGCCAAAGTCCCCCCTGTTGTCTTGTATTTGAGTTTTTGTATGCCTCTGAATGTGTGAATGTGTGCATACAACTCTATTCTCTTCAGGAGTCTGCCTGAGAGCCCTCAGTGGATTGACCCCATTGCAGAAAACACTTCCAGATGTTTGTGGGGGTTTTTTTTTGTCCATCTCCTGAAGTGCCGACATGCTGAGACCTAAGGAACCAGTCATCCATCAGAAACTGCACCTGGGTGCCTTCAGTAGCGCCGAGATAAAGATTCACACCATCGCTGTGAAATTGCAAAGACATTCAGGAAATGCAACAGCACAACAAATGAAGTTATAGATTAAAAGTGAAGGGATTTTTTTTCTCTTTGGACCCACCATTGTAGCTAAACACACTCTCCAGTTTAAATTATGATGGTTTGAAGTGAAATTATGTGTTTAAGAATGTCAGATATGACTGAAATGTCAGTGGAACTTAATCAGAAAGCTACACTGAATCAAGTCACATGTATATTTACATTTCCGTAACAATGTCCCTCTGTGTAGTCTGAGACATGCACAAATGTGTTGACATGCAATCTTTATGATACTTTATAGACCAGCTGACAACAGCGACGTTCTATATATGTGATTACTGTTCTGTTAAGAGAAAACACACAATGAAGCACAATTTATTAGAGAACTGACAATGTTTTACAGCCGGTGGAGGTAAAGAACCTTCTCTCAGAGGTGGAATCAATAGAGGTCTTGACAGAAATGTTGACATTTGTTTGACACTGAAAAACAAACCATGCTGAACTCGCAAATGCACGCAGTGACATTTAATTGGGACATGGTTGCCCAACTGCTCACATTTCCCATGAAAGTAAAGAAAAACAGACAAGTTCTAATACGTCTGCAGAGCACTGACAATGAAGACACTTTCCTCATAGCATCTTTGGTTTGAAGTAATGTCATCGCACAAATACGGTGACAGTCACAGGAAGAGCGGCAGTAATCGGGAGAACAAGAGACCTTTTTCAGGTTGCTCTCTGTGCATAAAGCTGGGTCAAAAGAGACCTTGAGACTGTATTCAGTCAGCTGATGTCTGAAAAAACAGCATTTGCAAGCATATCTTAAGTGCACGTTTGTGATGTAATTGCTACTAAACAAACAGCAGTTCACATTTATTCAAGTTTGAACAAGGCTTCTCTGCCTCAGCTTTTACTGAATAAAAAGGGGCTTTTCTTGTTTTATCTCGTTTTATTGTTCTAAGTTTATTTTTCAGAGCACACCAACAGTGGACAGAACATTTTAAACATAACTAATTTTATTTTTTGAAAACAACTCAATATTAGGCGTGCTGTTTGCAATACGGTGTGGGACATGTGAGCAAAGAAATCAAAGGGTAATCACTTCCCTCTCTGCAGTTGTCTGGCTCTGAGATTTAATTACTTCAAAGCAGAGGGAAGCTTTGAACTGTGTATAATTAATTCAGGCAAGCAGAACCAGGGTGTCTTTATTAAGTGCTTTGCTCTTGCTTGAACAACTATCAAACAAATACAATTTGACCTTCCCTGATAGATCCTCTGGAGGATTAAGTTATCCAAGCAGCTAATTCACTTTGCTTCAACAATGAGCCCATGCTGCTGCGATCGCTGCACGGTTTTACTTTCCATTCCTGCAGGAGGCTGTGAAAGTAGTTTCTTAAGCTTTTGTTTAGAATGTAAAAAGTTAATAATTGTTTATTTACTTGAACATAACCTGGTTTTGTATTCCTAGAAGAGTTGAAGCAGATTTGAAATTTTCATTTGACAGCAGTGATACTGAAATATCGGTGCTCTGAATGCCCTCTGGCTCGTTGTGCTGCCGTGACAATAGACACCAAGGCACTGTGTCAGCGGACTGCAGCTCAGCACAGAGGTTTTGTTTTTCAGACAAACAAAAGATCAGCTCAACTCGTCACAGGCCACAAAAGATTTGCTTGTTTTTCTAAGAGGCACTAAAACATTAGTCATTATTATGCATTCGGTAAATCATAAAGACAATTACATTAGGCTTAAACAATGAAAATGCAATGCATCTGTTTAGGTTTTACATTGTATTTATTGAGTTTGATCCTCAATATTAGCAAAGGTCCATGTGTGTGATTGAATTTGACGCTCATATAAAACACTTGGTGGCACATTGTAGTTTAAGACAGTAGTCTGGACTTTGCCATGGGGTTCAAAGTTGATTAAAAGCAGAAAAAAAAAACATTTTTGGAAAACAGTAATAACAGACTCTACTCTGTGCCTCTGATGCTACATTACCACTGCAAGTCTTAGTGCTCAATTCTAATCACATCTTTATTTTTTTTTTGGCTGTTCACATTACTTTTTAAATGTGGCCTGTATCAGATTGCAGTATGAACTGGTCACTGTCCTGAACTGACCCGCATAGCAAAAAAACAATAATACATACGTAACACACGTAGGTCAGAAAAAGATTGGGAACTGCTGATTTCCCAAAATACTGCTGTGGCTTAAATCACCTCGCATCAGCAAAAGGTCCAACTTCTCAAAAATAATAAACAACTCTTTCTATTGACCCATCACATTAAAAAAATAAAAACACCATGACTCAGCATGTAGAGGAGCAGCGTATGGTCAGTGCTGTACAGTGAGGGTTTTATTACGCTGATTGACGTATTTTGTTAAAAAAGCTCCTTACACTGAATTTAGGACACTTCCATCAGCTGTTCACAAGTCTTCCCCATCTTACGCCAAAGTCAAGTTCTGATATTTTTACATATATTTTCTTGCTCGGGTTGAACTTACTGTATCTGGTGGCATATTCACCATAATTTAGGCCACACACCTTTTCAAAATCTTATGCAGCCAGACAGAAATAATGATTTACTTTGTGTCCACAAGTGAAGTCAGTATATCATTATTTTCCTACATACAGCACTGTTAACATACCAACATACAATTCCAGGAGGTCTTGAAACTGTTTCAGGTTATCTGTTTTGTATCTACAGCGTCTGAAATGAGGTATGTGAGAGAAAAGCATGACTTTGCTTGTCAAAGAACACATCCTGGATTGTGTTACTCTAACAGACTACTGGCTTATTTTCAGTTTGGCTTACATTGTGTTTTCTAGAAAGCATATTGAGTTGGAAAAGTGAACATCCTTTGGACTACTGACATTACAACATTTTCAATGATAAAATGAATTACAATTTTTAAAGCATTCCTGTGGCAGTTTTTAAAAACTGATATTCTGTACTATGCTTTTGAATGATTTCACACCAGAAGCTGGATCCCTTAGGATGAGCAAAATATTTTGCTTTTTACATTATAAATCTTGGAATATTTACCAAAGGATCTGTTGATTATAGTTAGTACTTTTCCAAACTTTTCAATATTAAGTTTTAGGGGAAAAACAACTTAATATACATTATTTATGTTTATAAAATATAGACTTCTCAATGAAGGCCCTGCCTGCACTTCTTAACAAAATACCAAAATTGGTATTAGTCTTGCAACTTTTTTGTTTTGCTTTACAGCAGCTAATCCTAAAAGCCGCCTGCAAGGTCTGCTGTGGCATCAAAGAGATAATCTCTTTTATGAAATTTATTGGTCACATTTAAAACACAGCTCTATCTGCCCCATGGGTCACTTATCAGCAGGTTTATCTATCAGGGGTCAACACAGAGCACAGCCTGACTTTCTCCACATTCCAGCATCTAAAGAGGAAGAAACACAGTAAACCACTGGTTGCATTATATAAACATTACACATTTATTTAGGGAAAAGGAAGAATAACAACAGGAAGACGAGACAAGAAGGCAACAGTTCACAAAAGGCAACAGAAAATAAACATACTGGGACACAATATTAACAGATACACCCAGAAGGATAACATTTGCCACTATCAGCACTATGCACACTATAAATCACACATTCACCTTCACTGTTATAATAATAATAAAAAGCTGAAAATGACCTGTCCTGAGCATGTTGCACCTAGCCGACCTACACTCTGACATGCATGTTATGAAATGTGTGTTTGAGAACAGTGCAACAGGCATATAACATGCTGATCTACCACTTTAATGTGCAATTCATAGGTTTTGAAAGATATAAATACATGTCTTTCTGGATAACATTTCATTAATCCCCAAAGCCATGTTACTTGGTCAGAATAATCAGGTCAGTCTTGGAGTAGCAGGAGTTTTGCATCACCCCTCTCATATCGGTGGTCTGAGGAGGGAGTTTCCCCAGAGGAAAAGGGATATATCCTGCGACCCCTGCTCTCCGTCATCTGGTTTCCATCAGGAGTTGCTGGGCTGGTCTGTGTAAAGGTTTTCTCAAAGGATACCACCTTTGTTTTTTCTACCTCCACTGCCATTTTTCGTTGAACTCTTTAAACTGTCTCCATCCGTTCTCTACATGTTCATTAACTCCAAAGTGCTGCAGAGGCAAATAAATAAGTAATGTCAAATTTCCCCATAAAATTGAATTTAAAATTTTAAATATTACATTTTAAATAACATCAAAATAATAAAAAGGAAAAATAGTTTCTAGCTTCAGGCAGCTCATTCCAGCGTAGGAGCACTGATGGCTGAACCGCACCCACTGTGCTTTTAGTCTTCAGGATCAAAATTTCCTGCACACAGGGCAGTCAGTGCTTTGTAATGTAGCTGAACATCCACCTGGCTGTTCTTGAAAACACCCCGTAAACCCAGCATCACTTCACGACCTAACTTGTAACCAGTGGAGAGACATTAAAATTCACGGTTTATGATCTTTTCATTTGGCTCCAGTTCAAATCCTCCATGCTGCATTTTGAACGAGTTGAAAGAGCTGGATATGCTAATGACTTTTGACTGGGGCAGGAACAGGGAGAGGTGCCCGGCTGTGACTGGAATGAGATAAAAAAGAGGAGACTTACATGACCTCTAAATCCACAGGGGCTAACACCTCCTTAGTTTGGCATGTTTCTCAGTTGCACTGCTCTACAAAAGGCAAGTCCGAACCAAAGGTTGCTCAATTTCTGCAAACCACCAAGGAGTGACAGCATGTCAGTTGTAAACATTTACAGTGTTTTACAGAGTAGTGAAAACAGATTCAAGTATAGGAAACAAAGTGATCTTCACATTGAAATAAACATTTAAAGCTTTAAATGTTACATCTGCTGTATTTTACTGTGAGTCTTTCTGTCCCTGCAAAACTAGATTGGATCTACTTTCTTCAGGCCACAAACATGTATCTCTAAACATCAAGGTAAAGTTACAGGAAAAGGGAGGATTTTAAAGCATTTTCAGCACAGGCCTGGAGTCAGCTCTAACGATATCAGTGGTTACCGCTGTTTGCCAAACACAATGAGCTCTCTTGTTTAAATGTTTCCTTTGTCATGTCCCTCCCCTCGTTTTCTATTGCCCTGCGCAAAATTACAATTACTATTCAAAACACATGAGGGGAGCTAAAGGGGTAGTATCACTTTTGACACATGCAAATTACATTCTAATCTTAATTTAAGAAGGGCTCATGCAAAATGCATATTAATTTCAGATAAACCATCTGTGTTTTTAACTGGAGCTTAGACTTTGAAAGCCAACATCAGTGATGAACACACAGGATTTGTGCACCGGTGGTGCAGCCTATGCCACGCAATACCTCGGAAATGAGCAAATGAGGTGACTGCTTCACTGCACTGTAATTACATCCACATGATTGGGCCTGTGGATTATGCTGCTTGGCTCAAGCTACACTGTTTCCTAAACTTTAGCTAGAGATATTTAACTGACCTTTGGAAACTGGGCTGCTCCCCCTGCACAACTTCTTAATTTTCATAAAACATCTGACATATAACTGAAATAATTGGCTTTAGGTTGTTATAGTATGCTGGAGGATGAAGATATTGTGTGTTTATTAATGTGATTAGTGCTTAGTCTGTCTGATTTGTGGTATATTTGGATCTAATATGGCCAGAGATTTTCCCCAACATTTGTTGTGCTAATGAAGCACAAACTTAGGAATGGATTGAGACACTTGATGATGAATAGAGAACCAGCCCATCGCAGTCAGATATTGTCATGATGTTGTGCAAATATTGCGTAATAGGCTAATTCTTCTGTAGCTCACTTAATCTTTCTCAGAATTGTCCAGACTCTCTGGTCAAAAGAGGACCTTTATGCACTCAAACTGTTGATAGGAGTGCTCTCTAGTGGAAAAGGTGGGGAACAACATGTACACGACCCAGAGTTTCTATCAGAGTTAATAGTGATGCAATAAATAAAGACCTCCAACTCTAAAATATCATGTATTTTTCATATCATTCTCAGCCAATAACCCCCTGCAATGTTACACCATCTGATAGTTTGCATGACGGTTCCAGGAAACATTAAAAATGCCTAAAAAACCTAATGCCACTTCAAGTCTTCAAATACATCCAGCCTTTAAGCAAGAGTTCGGCTGCTTTATGATCATTTTTGGCGCATTTTAACTTTGCACACAAACAAATAACAAAGTGTTATGAGGTTTGAGTTCAAATATGTTGTAATATAACTTCATTGTCCTGATAAAACACCACACTGGTTGTCTTAATTTACTTGCATTTTATTTAATAAATCATTTCCACATGTATTTAAACACACTGACAGAAAATTCACATACGTCAAATATGTAAAAGATATATCAGTGACATTTATTAAAAGCAGTAACTAAGATTTGCATAAGTGGATCTTTCAGACACGGTCCCATCGAAGTGTTAACCTCATCTTTGGCATACTCAATATGCAAAAGCTCTGCAGAGTTTGGATTCTTGAAATGTCATCTTGTGTGTCGGAGCTCCCTCAAAATGTCACTACATGGGACGACATTACTTTACATTCAGTTCCTTAACACCAAGATCATTAATCCAGCTGGAATTTCTCTGCTTTTATTGTAATTTTCCAAACTTACAAAAATCCAAGGACAAACACAGAATATATTAAAATGCTAAACTCTTTGTTGTTACAGAATTTAGAGAAACAAGAAGTCAAATAATGAAACTATCCATTCTTGACAAGAAGCTTAACCGGCTAAGGATCTTGCATGTCTGTAAACTTGTAGTACAAATATAGAGATGTAAAATAAATAATATATTTCCGAGGAATTTTCCAGCATTCTGTGTCTGACAAATTATATGACCTACAGGTGTCCAGCACTAGTAAAAATAAAAAACAAACAAACACTGGTTTAATTGTACCAGGTCTTCATTTGCTCCGTCAGTGAGCTGCAACTTCCTATGTCTCATTTCTAACACGTGTGTTTGTGTATATTTTGTGTATTGTGAAGATGTGTTGTGAGTTTTGCAGCCACATATATTGTTACGTCTATGCTGACAGTTGCAGACCCCCTCATCAGCAGTTGAGAATGGAGTTGGTCCTCTGGATGCGGATGACCTTCTTCGAGGTGTAACTGTATTCGTACCGCAATTGTTCATGGAAGAAATACAAGTATCCTGGAAGAAAACAAAGAGGAATAACAATTAGGGAGAGCTGTGTATTGGTGGTGCTGGGAAAAAAAATATCTCCTTTGAAGTTGCCGTAAGTAACTTTTATTAAAAAAGAAACATATTTGCTGAAACATTCATTATATTCTGACAGTAGCACATGAGACAGATAATCTGTGAAAGAAACTCGGTCCCACTGGCTCCTTCTAGTGGTCTTGATAGCATTTACCATTATCAACATTTTTTTACAGATTATCTAGCTTGTGTACTACTCTCAGCATATAGCGAAAGTCTCTGGAAATAAGTTATTTTCATAAACATTTCTAATGCAGCTTTAACTACACTGACAATGTGATATTTGAGGCTTAATAATACCGTAGTGATAAGCAGCAGCATCGACTTCATCATCCATCCCAGGAAAGTTTTCCTCGATGGATCGTGGGTAGCCGCTGTCCATGGTGCCTGTTGCTTCATCGTAGCTGTGAGTGACAAATAAAAGCGAAACAACATGGATGAAATACAGGAAAACTGACTGGCTCAGTTTTAATCTATTGTTTTTTTTTGCTAATTTAAAGACTTGGAATCTTTACTAAGACATGCAGTAGCCTACTCCTCACCAAATATATTCCAAGGAAAAACTGTCTCATTATCTGACTCCCTATCAAAGCTAGAAAAATGGACTGCATACATTAAAAAAAGAAGATAAATGAATAAAAAATGAAAATACTCATCACCACATACCTCCAATAGTCCTCATCAGTGAAGAGTAGAGTTTTCCCAGTGTCTCCGATGTGCACGGCAGCATCTACTTTCCTTATTTTCTTGGGAAGTCCAAGTTTGTGTATGTACTTTGGGTAACCGTCAACAAGGTTATATCCATTCAAAGCCCACATTCGGATACCTGTTGAAACACAGAGCAGAGTTTGTATCTAGCATTTAGGCAATAATGAAAAAAATATGACATCAGTAAATAAATATACATAACCGACCGCTAAATATGATGACTAGATCCTTCTCTGGGTTCTCGTATGCTGCGTCCACCTTGTTGGGGATGGAGGGCCATGTGGACTTGATCAGTGTCTGCTCAGGCTCCGGCATCTGAGGATGAATACGCCAGTAGAATCTGGACAAAGTACAGCTTGTTAACAGCATGTAGCAAATTAAACTTATCTTAACAGAAATACATTGCGAAGTTGGAGAGTTATTAAAGGAGTTACATAATAATCAACGCTTCCTCAAACAGGTTATAAATCTAGATCTAGAGTTTAGCTTAGTTTATGTATTACCATCTTTGTATTTAACATCATGGTTCTTACTGTACCTGTCTTTGAAGATGATGGTCTCTCCTCTGAGCTCTGTGACAGCATCAAAACTCAACATGGGGTCACATTTGTCAGGTGCGTCAGGCTTTGGCTGTACTCTCTTTTGGTTTGGGTTTGGGCCTGTGATTGAACATCTGGCATTAATGCACTGCTCATGTATTATTAGGAATAAGACCAGTTAATTCATTCAGCTATTTTCCCACCGTATAGAGCTTGAATGCCTTCAATGTCATCTTCAGACAGCGGGTAGCCTGTAGAGTATGAGTAGACGGGGTACATCAAGGCGCCCGCATCTGAGGAATGGGACATACCGAGGGCATGGCCCAGCTCATGGGCTGCCACTATGAATAGGTTGTAAGCTGTAGAGAAAAGATACTCAGTCAAAATAGTCCAGATAGGACTTACTTGTTTATAACCATTAGGATTCAGTTAGGTGACTTATGTTGAACATTTGTGCACAACTGTTACCTGATGAATCTTTGGTCCAGTCTTCATCCTCATCAAAGTGAGTATCTCCTCCAATGCCTTGGCCGGGTGGGTAGGCGTGAGCCAGCAATCCATTAGGCCCGTCAAAAGGGTTATAGTCTCCATGCTCTACAGAGAACAGGACACACAATTTTTAAACATGCTAAGCAGAATGTGCACTAGCATAATGTCTATTATTTATAGTTAAGCAGCTGTAGTGTAGAAAACCCAACATCATTTATTTTTGTTTGTGTGTTCAGATATGATACAGTACATCCTAATTAACATTTATCGTACCTTTTGATCCAAAACTGATCATAATGTCAGCGTTGCCCTTATACAGCTTCTTAAAGGTCAGGGGGGTGACATCGGCCCAAACATTCAGCGCATTGCGGATGGCTCTGTCAACATCTGATTTCTTCAGATCTGGTGTATAATTCAATATCCTGATACATCAGGGAATAGATGAGTGATAAATGATACCAGTATCCACTTTCTGCACCATTTATATTTTATTCACAAGTACCACATTAATGCATACCTGAATGTGACATTGTTATTTTGCCATTTGAGGTGTCCAGGGAAGTGGTTGTACTCCCCGATGTCTGGGACGCCACATCTGGCTTGTTTCATCAGGTCCAGAGTGTTGTCATCCAGATTTCCTGTCACCTTCAGAGGGAGAGGAGGTGGAAAGAAAATATGTTACATGGGTACATTCGGAGTATTGTAATCAACGAGAGTACTCATCAAAACTTCTGAATGGTTCAATGCATCTGTCAATGAGTCTTGAATATTAAACATTTGATAGGTATACTTTGTTTGTAGGTTATCGTTTTCAATCTCTGTGTACTGTTTTATATAAATTATGGTTTCATTATTTGTATGCTGTGTTAAATATTGTCCTATCTGTCTTGCACTATGAGCTCAACAAGAAAAGTTCCTAACAAAGGTTGTTGTCATGGCAATAAAGATAACTCAAGTAAACCCATTTCAACTTCTTTCCTACAAAAAACCTTAGAAAAACAGTTGTAATGTAAACTGATCTCATTTTTCTCTCCTCTCTTTAAACTATGAACAAAACCTACTCAAACTCTTATCAAATTGAAGAAGAAAGAAAGAAGAAAACAGCAATGCCCTGCTCATTACATTACCAGCAGGTAGCTAACAACTACTCTGCAAATCAAAGAAGTCACCTTGAGTTTAAAGAAGCTCTGCATCTCCCTGATCTTGTCCCGAAAGGCACCAGATGACCTTTGGCGACCTTGGAGACCTGCTGGAAGGTCATAGAACCGACGAAGGTATTTCTGTTTATAGAAAAAGAACAAAAGCTGAATGACATTCATAATGGTGTAAAGTAGGTGTGGATTACTCCATTCTCTTTTTGCATTGATTATGACAAAAGAAAGCCATTTGAAGCCAGCTTATAAAACTAAATTATGTGTGGATTAGAGACCTCAGATCTTACCTCTGCTAAAAGCCAGTTGTCTGTGTCCCCAGACGGCAGAGGCAGAGCAAAGGAGTGAGCGACCAGCGCCAACAGCAGCAAAGCTATCATTGTTGTCTCTGTGTTGTCCAAACCAGTGATTGGGGTCGAGGAGCTCAACCAAGTATTTATAGTGTTTTGGGTCCACTTTTTTTCAAAGGATTTAAGTGATTCATGTAAAAGCACCTAGCCACTTCCTCCTTTGTCTGTTGAGAATGTGCTTGCACAGTGACTGTGGTTTGAGTGTACTCTTTTGAACCCACCTAAAATGCTTTGATAAACCATTTCCCAAATTGTGAAGACATTTGGCGTTTTCCCAATGAGTTCACAGGAAAATGTCTATGAGGCAAAATTATGATTCTTTCTTTCTTCTTTGAAAAACAAGAACAACATGACAATCTTTTTCTTGTTGGTAGATTTAGAAAGGATGAAGCCTTTTTGGGATAAATTACTCTGGGTTCTCCTTTAATAAGGATGTCACATTAGTTGTTATCTAGACATCTTCTTCCACTGAATAAAATAAATAAATAAATGCCCTACTATAAAAATAAAGGGAATTTTGTCTTTGACGCTAGTCTCATGACAGTCATTCTATGTGTTGTTATTTTAGGTGAAGACATTTTAAGATATGGGACTGACAAACACACATCACAATTCAGAAAGAGACAGCGAAAACATTTCAGTGTAAAACGTGTGATTTAAGTGTATAATGTTACATTTAAAACTGTGAAATAATTAGTTGTTTTGAAAATTGGTCTAGTGCTCATAATACTGTGGAAGTGTGGTCTGCAAGAGATTTGATCACAGCATACAAACCCTGATGACTAACAACAAATACAAGCAAATATTAATATTAAGAATCACTTTATCATTTATCCAGGGAAATTGCTACATCTGCTCAATAGTTTGGCACACCATTTTGTACACATATGGTGCCCAGATGATAAATCCTAGCGACTGTGGTGATCCCTTTTCATTTAGTGCCATCGTCGGTTAACAGTTATAATTTGTGGAATATTTTTGTTTGGCGAAATGAACAGCATTCCCATCAGCCTTAGGTGTACTTTTGTTTAATGCTAATTAGCAAATGTTAGCATGCTAACTAGCTCAGCTAATATGGTGAACACAATACCTGCTAAATATGTTAGCATTGCCACATGAGAAGCAGCCAATGTTACATGCAGCAAAGTTTAGTTCAAAGCACTGCTGTGAGTACAGCCTTGCAGAACTGCTAGCATGGTAGGTTCAGGCTGGTTACACTGAGGAGGGTAAAATCCTCATAAGCAAGACTGGAGATGGCGAGGGGAATTGTAACACCTGCATTTATTAACAACAATGCTTCTCACCAAACTGTGATAAATGGTAGCCTATAATATTGCTTAAATTTCAAAGAAAAGGATTCTCTTCTGTTTGGAATGGTAGTGATGATGTTCAAAATTATGCATATATAATCTATAAAAGACCTTGAGAATAATGTTCCAAACAAACAGGAAAGTACGATGGAGAAATATAACTGCGTAGGTCCCAGGAGTCAAGGCAGGTAAAGACATGCTTCCTGTTATTTCTTCTGTCGTCTGTGAGAGACAACAGACGTGTATAATTATTTGCTCCTGCCACAACAATGGAATTCCTTAACCTCTACACAAAGGTGGTCTTTTTTTTAGAGCTAGGCCCTCAAAGAAGTTTGTTCATCTTAAATTGCTCAACCAACACCAATAAGGGATTTCATATTTGAAATACAGAGTTTATATGGAAATTTACTTTACAATTACCCAATGCAATGCATCATAGCATTTGTAGCTACAGCTGATTTCCAATGCTCTCCAGAAGAGCCTTTAAAATAACAGACATAAAACATGTTGAAAGACAGCAAAGTTAAACTCTGTGGTACATTCTGTTGACCTAACAGGAACAGCAGTATCCCTTCCTGGCATACTCACTCAGTACACACATATATATTCACACACACATACATACATACCTACCCCCCAAGCCCCACCCCACCCCTGCACATGACTACATGTCAAACAATGTTTCGACTGTGTCCCAATTCCAGTCATTATCAACATACTTTTGGAAAATGTCTTGTAATGACAATGTTTTGCGCTGCCGGAGAAAACCAAATGTCTGACACTGCATTAAGATTACAAACAGCTAGTGTCTAGTCTAAAGGATCATATTAAGTCATTATAAAGGAGCAACGATTTGTGGAACATTAGCTAGGGTTAGGGTTATAAGGGTAATACAAACATCACAGAAAAAGTGATGTTCATCTGCACCCTATTAGTGATTGCATGTGTAATGTGTAACAAACATTGTGTCCAAACACTACAGCATCCTGTGGAGACCAATATTTTTGGAGTAACATCATTGTTTAGACGATGGTCAACACAGTGCTCCTGACTCATGTGAGGGGAAGTTGGCAGCTAGGGGGATTTTTGCTGTTATTTTAAAATATCACTGGCAAACACACACACACACACACACACACACACACACACATATGGAAACATACACACTGCTGATCTGTGTCGTGACCCACTAGTTGCATTCAAAGATAGATAAATGGTGTCATATGACCTATAGTGGTGGCAGGTCTGAGGAATCAAACCTGTGACACACAAATGGCATACTGCACTGTACACAGAACAATATTCCTGTTACAGAGAGGAGAAAATGATTTCAGGTGGCTGAGGTAAGCAGCATTGTCAGTCTGTCTGTTATTTTAGTCTAAATAAGAAATGTTCCCACTTGTCTCAGAGGAACAGTATGTAAGTCTGCAGCCGTGCTCGATGCCCCATGAGACACAGAAGAAAAAGAAATTGTCGGATGTTGATGAAAAATGGAATTGTTACCTCTAGTGGGGTAAACAAAGATAAAAAAAGACTCAGCTTGTAGGCTCAGCTTTATGTTATTAACCTCAGCTGTGGTTTTTCAGCGTGTATCAAATAATACAATTATTCCTGGACAGATGTGTTAAAATATCTGAAGTTGAATATCATATGATATTTGGTTGTGTATTGCTCCAAAATATCCAACGCTACCTTTGCTGGAAACAGGCAGTTTTACAGTGTGTTCCTGCCTTTATTTGCAGATATTACAACTTGCTCTTGTGTCATGTAGTTACATCAGCTGTATGTAAAGAGATAAAGATTAGGAATTGAGAGAGTTTCTATTTGAAACATATAGCTTATCTTCTCTTTGGTCCCTCATCATCCTGCATCAACCTCTCTCTGACACATCAGGATGTGGTCAGTGTCATAATGTCACTCGTCGGCTTTGGTTGCATGACTATATTACTTTGTGGTCGTTGTGATTGTTCATTTCCTTTTGAGATGTACTTTGCTCCTTCTCTGGAATATATTCACACTTTGGTAACATCCAGGTAATGTACCAGTTTCATATAAGGACTCAGTCGCATACAGTATGGAGATATTTGTTCAGAGACAGAGGCCAGCTATGTTTGCTGGTGTTATTTTGGTAAAGGTCTGCGATGAGGTAGAATAAGCTCAGACCATCTAAACCATAAAACACAGTGACCATACAATTTATGTTTACCACAGAGCTCATCCCTAGAATGTATTACAGGATTAAATAACCATGTTAGCATTATGGCTAGCAAAGGTATGCAACATTTATTCTCATTGGACAAAAGCTGCCAAATAAATATAATGTACAGCTTACAGTAAAAAGAGCATTTGGATTACACGGTAAGGTGCCAGCAGAATCAGAGATGATACATTACACTACTGTAATTGAATCTTTGCATATTGCAAGTCCACAAATAAAGTACCAGAAAAAGGCTCAAATTAAAATGCTGAGCAACTGCAATGGCAGAGCAACTGCTAAGATCCAGACCACAGTGACTGCTGTGGCGTGAGGTCAGGCCCACTCAGCAAAAAGCATGAGGATGAATCCTAATGACTACACGAACTGAAGAGACACCACATGAGGGCAGCAGAGACTCTAGCTGGAGACTCATTGGTCTAATCCCTCTGGTCCCCCACATGCCCCAGTGTTACCACCACCTCAAGCTGAAGTGTTAAAAATTAACAGAGCTCAAATGTAAATAAATAGAGATTAAACATCCGTTGATGTCAGATTCATCATCAAAACAGCCTTAAACTTAGTATGTTTTCCTGAAACAAACTATGACTATCACTATCACAAAAACATTATTTGCTAACTGATCTTACCTGTTGCTTTTGGACCATTTTTGTATTGGTCGTAACTAAGCATGTTTGGTTGTTTGCTTGAACAGATTATGAGTTTTTGCCAATTGTGCAATCAGGTGCGTGTACACTCACACCATGCCCTTTCTGGCTCACTCAGAATACAGCTATACATATTTTGAAAGCTATTAGAGGAACTAAACATACTCATGTAGTCATCAATACGTGTGTAATTTTGTTACAGCTGTGAAGGTATAGTGCAAAATACTACCTGTAATGAGAAACTGATATTAAAGCCACTATGAATAGTACATTTATGTGACTAAAGAATCTTTTAATTTATTCTCATGAGTTCTTTCTGGAGAAAAAAGTAGTCAGTCTTGGTTAAAATTACTGCAAGTATTACCCCATCATACCCATTCACTTCATGATGTGTGTGTGTGTGTGTGTGTGTGTGTGTGTGTGTGTGCTGCTGTCTGCCACAGTAACTCTTTGGTAGTACCACTAGGGGAGCCAAAGTCAGATACAAATTCTGCCCACAGAGGCTTTAAGGGTACCATCATTTGTCTAAGAGTGACTATTTCTCATAGCAGATTTGCCATTTTAAAATAAACTGTGTTTGAAATACGTTTTAAAGGATCAGTACCCAGGATTCACTGGCATCTAGCACTGAAGTTGCAGATTGAAACCATTTAAATCCAACTCAGCCTTTCAAGTGTGTAGGACACAACATGAAAGAATACATTTTCAGGTTTGATGGGAGTCACATTGTCTTTTCCTGAAGCAAAATAAACTGTGTAGTGAAGTTGATATATCACTGATGTTAACTAGTTTGAGTATTATTATGATAAATATTTGCAAAACTTTGTCATGTAATTCTGACTCTCTGTCTCCCTTCCATTCCTTTTTGTTCTTTTTTAATATACTGTGACTGGAAGCACCGCATAACAGAAACATACCTAAAAAGCTTTTGAATACTTATCATTACAGACAAAAAAGATGCTCTCCAAGACAAATATTGCTCAAAGTGAAAGTGTATGTTTGGGGCAAAACAGAAGTTGTTGCTACTGGTTTAATTACCATAGCTGTCTCTCCCAGATTGTAACCCTGCAGCTCCAAACTACACTCTCAGTCATCACCCCTGCCTAAAATGACTTCATTACCTCGTCTGTACTTAGACCATAAAACCAGAGCGACACAAATTCTGCAAGTGTTTCTACAAAAGAGCGCAGTGTCCTTTGGAAAACTTAGCTCATGTTACCCAGCAGAGGAATGCTGTTGGTCCCATAAAGCTCCACAATGACCAATCAACCGTAATTGTAGCTTGGATTTACCATGGCACCACCCTTGCCAGTCTAGGATGCCTGGCTGTCGGCCATTTTTCTTTTTCGAAGGCCTTAAATCCACCCCTGCAATTTCAGCTCCCTTTCGGCGAACTCTCTCATTGAAAGGTCTTACATGCATTTCCGTCTATAACGGGACCAGAATGAGCTTTGATGGTATTATTTTGGGAGCTAGCAGAATGCGTGGGACTGAGCAATGCCACCCAGCTCATTGTGTTGCATCAGTCTGTTGGTTTCTTAATAGGATCTCTGCTGAGGAAATCATTTACCCAATATCAGAGGTTTTTGATGGTGGGAATATCAACATGTTTATGCCAAACATACTCATAGTTGCAGCAATGAGCACATCTTGCAGAAATAATCTTTTTCTACACTGCCTCATGTTGCAGTTTCACCACTTGTTTAGGATTATCTGTGAATCACTGCCCTCTTAAACTCCCAGTGTAAATGTTATTTACATCAACTTGATCATTATTGAAACAACTGATTTAAGCCCTAAATCTGCACTGAATTTGATTCAGATGTAGAAATTTAAAACCATACACTGAATACGTTATCCATTTAAATCGTCATTGGTGCAAACATGTCACATGACAAAATTTTTTTCAAATGTCATTTCTTTCTTTTCTCTTTTTGCTGTCCTTGGCTCTCTGCAAACCCCTCCCTAATTCCATAGTACTGTCTGAGGCTTCCCTTGGATTTGCAAGTGGTATGAGTCACAATAACCATTTAAAAGGCTTTCTCATTAACCAGAACTTCCATCTCCATGGGTTTAAACTAGGCCACTACAATTCAATGTAGTGTTAAGTCTGTGAAATGCATGTCATGCTGTTCTCTTGCTGTTTCCTGGTCTTGCTTATGCCCGGTCCGTGTTTTACGGCACCCACGTTTGTGCCGGAGGGAGACAGCTCTCCTTCCACAGAACCACAGGTTGACTTGAAGCTGGCCACTGTAAGTGCATAATTGCATGAGCTGCATTACAAATGTTTGAGATTGGACTGCATGTGACTTTATCTCCTGTACAATGGCAAAAACATGCCAATTTGAAAGTGTTTTTATTGAGGGATAATGGAATTACAAGGATCCGTTGTCTGCGTGTGGGATTTTGTGATTATGTTTTTATTTAGTTTTGTTTTTGTGTGGGTGGGGGGCGGAGGTAAGTTACTGCACTGCCCTCGCAGTCCTTGTAGCTGTTATATTGCATGCTTTAGCAGATTCTTTCAGCATCCTCACTTTTCCCTCTCCATAATTTCCTTTCATGAATGTATTCTTGTTTTTCTTTGGAAGGAATTGCATGGGAACCGGTTGCTTGGGAAGTCTTTATTCAGTTTATTGTTGTGAAGGATTTGTGTTGTAATTAGAGAAGTTGTAATTGACAGTTGATCCTATAAATCTGATTACCCAAGAGTGTTAAATTGGTTATGTACAAGTTAATAAATACAATGTGCAATCTGATGGATGCAAATTATGATAATAGTGTGTAATCTACTATAATGCCTGCTGCAAATAAGGAGTCCATCCACATAAGGAATACCACGTTCTACCTTGGCATTAGTTAAGTTGTGCAGGACCGATTAATTTACCTGGCTCTTCACTGCAAAAAGATAGATCTGATGTGGATCTCAAATCTACTCACAGGAATACCTTCAGCAGTACTACAACCTGCAAATAGAACCTATGGGACGCATGAAGCGGAGTGGGCCCTCCTTTACCTCCAAGGTGAAAGACATGCAGATATTCTTTGGGCTCAATGCAACGGGTGTCCTGGACTCAGACACCCTGGAGGTGATGAGCAGCCCTCGATGTGGGGTTCCAGATGTGGAGGAGTACAGTCACATTCAGGGGACACGATGGAACAAGAATGTCATCACCTACAGGTATCTGTGTGGACTTTTATTAAATTTAATAATGAAGATGCTATCACTCTTTTTATTTTTACATTTGCCTAGAATCACTGTCTGGAAGTTATAGCTGTATATGATATAGGCATATCTGACCGAGACTGAACTTGCAAAAAATAGAACAGTCTGGTTGTCCCTAAAATGCAAACCCCGCCAAAACGTGGGAAACATTTTGAGGCAGCAGGCAATAAAACCTTTGGCAGAAATAGGGAATAGCAACTGTCACAAATCATTATGGTTAACAGATTTTTGGGTTTGGGACTCCTGCCTCTGAGAGTTTTTGTGGGCTTGTTCCAATGCCAAGTTCACCATACATGCTTGAACTTATGTAACACTGTCTGAAACCAGACCTGTCCAGTTATTTGCAAGTCCTGCTGGAGCCATGGCAGCTGGATTAGGAGCAGAACACATGTTTAATTCAAGAGAATCTGAGAAAAGCGGCTATTGTCAAAGTGTGTTAAATGCAAGATTTAATTTACACAAGTCTATATAACCACATATAGGCAATTTAAACGTCAATTTACAACACAGGGTTGTATAGTGAAATCCAAGTTGCAGTTCCCTTTATGCTTCTCGTAAAAAACAAAAATGTATCCACCAAAGTTATGTAGTGCTGAGGGCTTAGTATTCTCAAAAAAATAGCACATGTTTTTGTCTTATCAATCATTTCTGTACAGATTGATAAGATTTATATTTAGAAGATCCTGTGTCTTGATCTTTATTTCAAGCAACAACATGACATGTACTCACTGCTTTTGCAGCATAGGCAGATACACCAGAGATTTGCCTCGCAACACTGTGGACTCTCTGGTTGAGTCAGCTTTCAGCGTTTGGGCCAGAGCCAGCAGTCTGACGTTTGTCAGGTCCCACACCCGCAGCGCTGACATCATGGTGGAGTTTGTGACCAGTGGTGGGTTTGTCTTTTTGTTTGATTCAGGACAGAGACATATGACATTGAACAGCTTGAGTCATGCTCACAGAATAAAAAATACACTTTTCAGTGATATATTGTGTATTATGTAAAAGATAATCCCAGGGATATACACATGAGGAGCTTCAGTAGCAATTTAATTCCTAACTACAGTAAAACAGTGGCATCATACACTGGCTGCTGAACTCATTTAGATGAGGCGAACAGAGGCCTGTAATTTTGTTTTGGCATGAAAGAAAGTGGTTTTCTCTGTGGTTTCTCCTTCATGTTTGGTCTGGATTATATTATGAAGAACATGGTGACTTGTATCCATTTGACGGACCCAGAGGCACACTGGCTCATGCTTTCGGTCCAGGGTTGGGTGTTGGAGGGGACACGCACTTTGATGACGATGAGCACTGGACAGCTGGAGAAACAGGTGCTGAACTAAATCACACTCACAAAAATGATCCTAAAGGAATCCACTAAAAGACAATATCATTTAATTGGATGCATTTTCTTTGTGTTATTTCAGGTTTTAATCTGTTTGTTGTAGCTGCACATGAGTTTGGCCATGCTTTGGGCCTGAAGCACTCCAGAAACCCTGCGTCACTGATGTATCCGACCTACCGATCCCCCCGCGCCAACCTATTATCCAGTGAAGATGTAGCAAATATCAACGCACTTTACAGTAAATTTCAAAAAAGTGTTTAAAATGATGAATTGACTGTACAGAGAAGTACAGCAACACATTTCTGACTCAAGAGTGTTTTTATTGAAGTGAAACCTGAACCTTGTGTGTGCTGATGTGTGTTAGGTCCAGTCAGAAGTCGTCCAAATTACTTTTCGATGTATGGCTGGAGCTCTCAGTCCAACCCCCGGCTGTCAGGATCGCTGTTCCCGCAGCTCATGCAAAATAAATGTGAGCCAGACCTGACCTTTGACGCAGTTTCCACTCTTGGGGATGCCACCTTCTTTTTCAGAGAGAAGTATGTTGATGATTTTTCTGTATGATTGATTGTAATATCACTTCATCCGCATCCTAAAATAATTGGTGACCTAACTGCCAAACGTTTTGTAGATATCTCTGGATTAAACATAATGAGCAATATGACATCAAAGAAGGTCCCATCACCAACTTTATGCCCAAGATTGAAACCAGCATCGATGCTGCCTTCTGGGTGCCTCGCAGATCCACTGCTTATCTAATTCATGGTAACTGTCTTTTATACTTTAGTCTTACAAGTAATCAGCACTGATTTATTTTATTTTATGGCATCCTTATAATAAAATCTAATCTCTTTGATTGTTCTCCTATGTGTCAACAGAATCCATGTTCTGGACTGTGAAAGGGTCTGTTGTGAAAGGAAAGCCGCGAGCACTCAGCCACTTTGGGTTTCCAGCCTGGGTCCAGGACGTTGACGCAGCAGTGCACATTGTGAAAACAAGACGCACCCTCTTCTTTATGCATGATATTTACTGGAGGTAATGCAACAAATGAACAACATGAATCCATTGATCAGTTAAACAAACAAACTTTTTTTTATATGATATTGATTGTGGCAATAAAAGTTTTCTATAGAACTTCAAACATCAACTTGGAATCTGCAATTATAGCAATTGCACCTACTTAAAGGACCATACCTACTTGTATTTGCATGCATTTACCCATACAGCATTTTACTTAACTGTTTGAGGTTATTAAAGCAAACAGTTTCATACCCTGCAGGACCAAGAATACGAGAAGAGAATATATGTTTGGCACAGGACCAGAAATTGGAGTCCAATATCATGCCTAAGCAAACAGACATGACAGATTTCAGTACTACAGATTGAATTAAATAAAATGATATTGTACTTTTTTAAAGCCTAAATAACTAAATGAAAGTGTTGTGATATTGTCGAGACAAATCACAAAGCACTGGCAGAAAAGGGCCTTGCACATTAAAAAAGTTGACTCAGATCTGACTGGAGGATTTCGTTTATCATTTGGACCTCACACAGAGAGCAAAGGGCTCAATTTGGACTCTGAGGTTGGATGACGTGACCAAACTAGTAGCAACGATGAACAAATGTTTTGTCTCAGCTTTAAAAGATGAACAGATGCACATGAGTCATGACTTCTGACAAACGTTGTTTATATCTTTTTTTGTGTTTTTCAGTTACAATGAAAATCGAAGGGTAATGGATTTCGGTTACCCAAAGTACATCAGCGAGGACTTTCCTGGCATCAACACAACAATAAATGCAGCTGTTTATAAAGCGGGTGAGTCAGTGCAATTGTTATCACCCACTGTACTGTATGTTTGCAATGTAAGTTAAGTTTTTTGTTTACGTACAGTCTTACTGAAATATAGAAATGTTCCTTAACAAACCACATAATATACATACCAACAGCAGTCCCCCCTCTAGGTTTAGTAGGTAATATACTTTTTACGTCTGTAGCTTAAGGGGACTTTTGCAAGTTGTATTGTTATTAGTAGCGCAGGAATGCTAATTTACATACAACATCAGCTGAGTGGAGTGAAGTTTTTATAGAGCATGTGGTTCCCCTCTATGATTTAGACCGTATAATTTACCCACTTTACCACTTACAGCCTCTCATATGATATACTGTCATTTGAGCAAAAGTGGATATTTAAGTTCACAAAGATGCTCATCATCATCATGATCATCATCAACAACAAAAAAGATATTCTAGACAACACAACATGATAAAGGTTAAATATGTGAGTCACTTTGTTTGCCTCCACTTTTCTCATCTCAGGTTTCATCTACTTCTTTGTTGGGCCACACGTCTACAAATACGACTACACCCAGAAACATGTTGTTGGAGTTGAGAAAGCAAATTCCTGGCTGGGATGTTGAAATACTGTAAATCCATGAACATGCAGCAAGGAAATTACCTGAAAACCTTAATTAAATTAAACCAAGAAAAGACAAAAACACTGTTCCTCTTCACTTTTGAGTGGAGTTTTATTTATCAGTCATTCTATTTTGTCAAAATAAAGAACTTAAACCTGATAACAAGTGTGTGTGGTTTTTACATCTAACCTACAGTAAAATGCTCCTAGCATTTGCTGATCAGTTGTCACTGTGGTGGAAACTAATATAGACATATGATGGCAGATGAGTGTAGATTAGGTTTGCCTCACTAATGGCTACAGGCTTTGACTTGATGAGTACAATGTTCAGAATTTGGCTTCTGGTTTTTATAATACAAAACACACTGTACACACACATGTTTCACCATTACAGACAGAAAACCCAGACATAGTATGCAGACATTTCATTGGGAGGTTTTAACCACAAAACCTCCAGAAAATTGGAGCAGGTAGACCCAGCTGTAACTACCAGGATTGTGCGCTTTTGGGCCATGTGATTGCCTAACAACCCTGAGAATACTCCCATATAAAACATGTGAAGCGTGCTGGAAATGTGCATTTAAAACATGGAGTTAGTCTGGCTGTGGATACCTGTTTTGGGCTCTCTGATGTTAGCGGAAATCTTGTGGACTCTGCCCATCGATCAGGATCAGTGGCAGAGGCCTAAGGACATAGAGCTGGCTGAGGTTTGTGAGTGGACGACTGTCTTTATGCTTTATATTAGACACAGCTATCCTATATATATTAAATTTCAGGATTATGTGTGTGATTTTTGTTGTGCAGAATATTTAATGTAAAACTATTCCAAACTGTAACCAAGCAACAGTTTTGTAAAACCCTTAGAAAACATTATGTGTATTTGAACTGATTAGTTCCATTACATACATAGCGCAGGTTGATCTATCTATTGATATATTCATTTGGACCAAATGCAACACTAATGTTTTCACTTACAAATGCTTATTTTTAAAGTGTAAAGACGATGGAAAAAAGCCAAACTTATAGTTCTACCCACATCTTGAATGTAGAATATGGTAAACAACCAGAAAACATATGACTTGAATGTCTTTTAAATGATGGATTAACTAAATATTGCTGCATTGCTATTGTTCTAAATTGCTCCTTTTGCTGATTCAATTCTCAATGACCTAAACATCACTTTCTAACTTGTCTCCCTCTTTGTAGTTGATATACTTTCATTTAATAGTAAAATAATAATAATTCATCTGTGTCCTTCACGAAATAAACTAACAAAGAGAAGCTGCACTTTAACCTCACATCAAACTACAATACAGAAACTAGACCTGATTCTCCAGATCTGAACTCCTTTCAACAACAGGGCTACCTCAGGAGGTTTTACAGTCTGAACCCCAGAGGCAGAGTGTCAGGAAGAAGGATCAGGTCCACGTCAGCCCTGGAGGAAAAGATCAGAGAGATGCAGAACTTCTTTGGTCTGAGAGAGACTGGCCGTCTGGACTCTCATACCCTGGATGTGATGAGGGAGCCCAGATGTGGTGTTCCGGATGTAGAAAACTTCAGCTTTTATCCCGAGAGGCCTAAATGGAAGAACCACACCATCACATACATGTGAGATGTTTTGTACCTACTCAGAAACATGCTTGAGTTTTTACTGATTACTGTCATATTGTAAAGTGACCATCTTCTTGTAGTTTGTTTGTTTCATTTTTAGGTTTCATTTAGCTAACAGAGGATATGTTACTGTAGCTGCAGCTGTGGAACTTGTTGCTCCCACTGTCTCACGTTAGTCTGTCCATATTTGGCACTGGCATATAGGATTGCCAAATACACTCCAGACATGAAGAGAGAGGATGTGGACAAGTCGTTTGGTTCAGCCCTGAAGATGTGGAGTGATGCAGCACCACTGAGGTTCATCAAAGTCAACCATGGCAAAGCTGATATAGTCTTCTCCTTTGCCCGCAGAAGTAAATCTGAAAACCACTTCTAATCAATTATTACATTGGTTAAGATACACTTAAAACAGAATTCCTAATTAGTGCTGTCAAAAAAGAGATAGAAACACAGCATGTTTTTATAAATCCTGTCTAATTCATTGTGTGAAGTGTTTTTTCGGTTGCAGCTCATGGAGATTTCTTTCCCTTTGATGGACCCCGGGGTGTGCTGGCTCACGCCTTTCAGCCAGGAGAGGGTATAGGAGGAGACATACACTTTGATGAGGATGAAAAATGGACGGCGGGGAGGCCAGGTTTGTCACTCAAAACATGTTTGCAATTCTGTGAGAATCAACATTATTTAGACAGCACATTAAAAATGAAAGATTATCCTGTGGCCTAGGATTCACAAATCTTTTGTTGAGTGCAATATTTGTCCTTCATACTACTTTTTGAGGATAAATTACACTTTCCTACAAAGTAAAAGAACAGACTACCTAAAACAAAAAGTAAATCAGTTATCAGTGGTGAAATGTGAAGTGAATTAAGATACTTTTTTGATAGTATTTCCATGTTATAGTACTTTATACTTCTACTCTACATTTGAGGTAAATGTTGCACTTTTTACTCCACATGTATTTAACAGTTTTAATTACTCTGTATATTAAGATTTTACATACAAAGATCAAGATTTAGCTGCATTGTTATAAGGTTAAACCACTTTAACATTAAACCACCACCATATATGAAGTAGTTAACTTATTAATAACTTTATTTAATAATAACAACTTAATAAAACATAACAATTTACAATAAAATGCTACTTACACATGAATGGATAAACAAAATGATATGATATGATATGATTCAGTATATGATATATAAGAAAATAACTCTCATTTCCTGCCTTGTTTTTTTTTTTACTGTACTTACAAACCTACTACAAAGTATTCTTAACTCATTATGAACAATCTGAATTTCATACTGATGCCTCTGTATGACATACATAAGCAAAAGATACAATCTACAATCAAACAATTTGAAATGACACTACCACTTTTGTCCCCAGGGATCAACAATCACTGAAAGTTTTAAGTAAAGGATCTGAATACTTTGTTGATGTCAATTCTGAACCACAAGTGGTAGCAAACAGCTGTTGAGATGTCACACCCCGATCAGTATCAGGTGTTGCATTTGACAGCTGACAGAAAACGCCTGCTGTGACATCATTATAGGGGTGTGGCCAAAAGTGTATCATCCCTGAATGTTTCAAACACACAGACAACGGTTTTCAGTGTGATTCTGCATCAACTGACCTGTCAAATACTCTAACAGGACTTGTCATTGTATTTCAGGTTACAGCCTGTTTGCTGTCGCAGCTCATGAGCTTGGCCACTCACTCGGTTTGGCTCACTCAAGAGACCCCACTGCTATCATGTACCCCAACTACAGGTATCACAGCAGTACACAGTACTCTCTATCCAAAGATGATGTGCTTGGGATCCAGACACTGTACGGTGAGGAACAAATTTATAATGAATGTTTGCACAAAATGGAAATAAGAGAATAGTGCACCATAACATACAATGTTAGATCAATATATTCTGTTCCAATGTTTCTCAGGAAAACCTACAAGAACTGTGGAACCACAACCAGTCCCCAAAAAGTGTGACCCCAACTTTTCTTTAGACGCAGCAGTTATGATTGAAAATGAGATTGTTTTCTTTAAAAACAGGTACAATATGTTGTATACAATTATGACTGCAAGTGTGCTCAGTGTGTTTGAGCTGCAACTGAGTCTGCGGATTGTTTTAACCTACAGGTACATGTGGATGAGAACAACACGGACAACTTATTGGAATCGCCTGAAAGAGAGCCACAGCAGCACATATTTACCGAGCATCAATTCTCATGTTGATGCCGCTTATGACATCCCTGCCAAAGGCGTGGCGTACATATTCACTGGTAGAGTAATGGGCAGTCTGCAAAGCATCACTTAGCCCTTGTCAGCATGACAAGGCTGGATTTCCAGCTGGAGAACACAAGGTTGCACCCAAATTACAGCCTTGTGCAACTTAAGTGTCGCTGTTCATGCAAGAGGCTCATTGAATTTGGCAGTGCTTGTGGTATGTAGCTGTTTTTCACAGTGTCCTAAAATGCAGTGACATGGCTGTGTTTTTCCAGGTCATAAGTACTGGGTGGTTCAACGGCTTAAGATGAAAAGTCATGGTGGCTCCATCTATGAGTACGGCTTCTCCTCTAGAGTCCGGCAGGTTGACGCTGCCGTGCATGTCAGTGAATATGGGAAAACAGTCTTCTTCATAGGAGAGGTTTATTACAGGTAACTTTATTTGGTGCCAACCCACACCACATTTAAAATGATTCTATGCTTTGATCATATATTTTTACATGAAAAAAAGACACAAACGCAATCAACAGGAAAACGTACCCATCAAAATGTATTAATATATACATTATTAATATCTACACTGTACCTATAATGCCCATTCAATGTAAATCATTTTGTACGACTATTACTAGACATTTCATGAGAAGGAAGTTTACTCTATTGAATTGCCTGTACTAAACTAGGTGATGGATCTAGAGAAATACTTAGAGAAATGACAGAAATATATGCTGATCAATATTTGCTTGGAAAACACCCCAAATGAATATATTTGAACTCAAAAACATTATATTATTGTGGCACACACAGTAAAGCATTGAATAGAATCTTAATACAGTTTTCCAAATGCATGTCTTTTTTCATTTAACTCAAGCCATCAAATAGTCTAAACTGTGTCCATAACAGATCATTCAATTCATTTTAATTTTTTAACACATCTTAATCTAAATTAATGTGTTAAATTTGAAACTAACACCCCATGCCACCGATCTAGATCAGCCCCTAACCCAAACAGCAAATTAATTCTATATGAAAAATTGAACTGGATGAAAGAGTGCGGCGTGCCCTGTACTAATTGTTTAATTGTTTTATTTAAATGATCCAATCTCAGGTATGATGAGCACAGAAGAAGGATGGACCCCGGCTTCCCCAGACTCATCCAAACAGACTGGCCCGGAATCCCAAGAAGGGTCGACGCTGCCTTTAAGTTACATGGTAAAAAAGAGAGAGAGTGAGCGAGAGAGAAAACCTGTTACAGTTTATGGTCATGAACTTTGTATAATGTGGACCTGAGCAGCTGGACACAAATAGAATAAAACTGAAATAGAAGTTGTAATTTCTTGTTTTTTACCGTGTTTAGGTGGTAGACGGGTGGGGTTTACCGCACTGGACACACTTTTATTCTGAAAACACCATTTGCCCCACTTTTAGAACAATGTGTTAGTCAAGTAGGAATCTGTTTACAGTTAAACCTTGTTGTTCACATTTCATCTCATGTGTTTTGAAAAAGCATGAGGGCATAACACACTTTTTGTATGATGCTCTGTTTACAGGTAGCATCTTCCTCTTCAGTGGAGCAAAATCCTACCAGTATGACTTCAAACGAAACAAGGTGGTGAATATAATTGCAGCAAATTCCTGGCTTGGATGTTGATGCGGTGGGCAAGTTACTGAGAATACATCCTTTTAAAGATATACAGGAACTCTAAAATGAGAAATGATGAGAAAGTAAAGGTAATAATTGTTGCAACTGACATAATAATTATGTAACACTGTGTATTTGACTGAACTGTTTTGGTTTTTGGGCCATTCATATATCTGTATGTAAATTATCTGACATCCCTCTCAGGTAGAATGGCACCTTATAGGCTATATCTTACATGCAAGGAGGTAAAGTATGAGGACAACGTGAATATCAAGTGTTTGAAATATTGTGGACAGTAAAAGTTTGTATCTTAGATGTGGGTTCAGAATGTACATTCAATTCAGCATACTAAATACCACTTTAAAAATAATTAGAGTCAAAGATAGCATATGTTTTACTATGTTGTAAATTTGAGTATGTAAAAACAAGATGCTTTTTACAAACAATAAAATGTAACTTTTCTTTATCAATCTCAGATGCTTTTGTTGACTATTAAAATACTAGACATTTGATCAGAAGGAACTTTACTTTATTGAATATACCTAAACTAGGGGTGCATCTAGAGAAAAATTCATTGGGTAGCCAGAGAGGGGCACTGGTTCCTGGACCCTCACTAGGGGTGGGGGTTGCAAGGCCTTCTTGACTTTAAGGGGTGAAAGAAAACTAATTCTTAAAGTCATTTGTCTTCATCAGTCTCAGATGTTTTTGTACAACATGCTTCTTTCATCTTTACTCTCCAAGGTAGTGGTGGAAGAATGTATTCAGATTTTTTACTTAATGTAAAAGTATCAATACCCCAGGTTAAAAATACAAGTAAAAGTCTTGCATTCACAATTCAACTTAAATTATAATTATAAAGTGCATTAATACAATGTACTCTAATAATGTAAAACTCAGCATGAAGGCAAATGGTCCCGGTCAGTGTTGTATTATCATGTATTATACAAGTGGATTATATTAAAGATGTAAGCAGCATTTTGGTGTTGTAGCTTATTTCAAAGGCTTTATAAACTATTGGGTTGTTTAATGCATTATGTTTTAGATGCTCATCATAGGTTTTGACAATTTGAATCTGCAAATGTGACCCCACCCAGGTTACAACGGGGACCGATACTATACCAGCCCTAACCACCAACCATCTGAGCGTTG